GCAGCGTTTATTCTCGACACGTTGACGACTACGTTACGAGTGCACTTGAGTTACAGGGCAAATGTAGATTTCAAGAAAAGCTAATCGTTTTCCTACATCACATCCTGTGGTTGGATTTTCGATTAGGCCAAGTTATATTTGCTATAACAAAATACTACATTGTTTATTTTTCAATTTAAAGTTTGTTCTCGAGACTATTAGTAAATCAGCAGAACAAGGCTACGCCCATTTCGTTTCAGGTGATGAAATACTGGTAGTTGAATTTTCCCACAATAATATGAGTAGACCTTACGGTCTCATTCACATCTGCCTTCTGACCCAAGGGCATTTGTGGCAATGTGGCGTAATAGTTAATATGTAGAGTTTACACAATGTACTCTCATGGTTCGAGTCCCTCTGAGGGTGTTGCTAGGACTTAAGCGAGGTCGAAACTGCAGTTAATCCTTGATGAGAACACCTTTTGGGAAGCAAGAATATGTGAAATTCAATGGAAATGTAAGGTTTACTCATATCATTGTGAGAAAATTCAACTATCAATCCTTAACCACCTTAAACCAAGTAGGGTGAATACATCTCTTATATCTGATTTGCTGGAAGTTTCGATGCCTTACCTATAAAGGGAAAATAATTTTTCTATATGTGAAGGCCAGGATGATGTGGTCTTTGTCTTATCACAGTTTTATTTAGCTCTATAGTGTTGATTCGACCTAGTTTTCGCGGCTTGGTCGGAGTTTAAGGGAGACCTTATGGAACATACCTAGTACAGTGTCCTCTATCATAGTATTCCTGATTTCTAGTATCGAACCATTGACTTTTTACATTTCCAAATGCCAATGATCGGATATTGTAAGTCAAGAATACTATGACAGAGGTCATTGAACTAGGTACATTCCAGAAGGTATCCCTGACTCTTGACCAAGTTGCGAAAACTAGGTCGAACTAACGCAATAATTCGATAAGGCCTTTAAAGGGCAAAGTAATTCTGGTTGCTGCACCTATTTCTTACTTGAAATTTTTCAGGTATTATCAACTACTGAATTGCCATTTAAATTTGATATTTTACAAAATAGAGACATTTAAAACCATCTTTTTCTCACAATTCTTGCGATAGCTACTCGAGGCTTGGTGAATATGGGAAATACATGCTTTCTTAATGTGGTCATCCAGGCTCTGACACACACTCCTGTCCTTCGTGACTTTCTGTTGGCTGATCTGCATCGTTGTGAAACTCCGGCTAGATCTCGAAATTGCCTCGCCTGTGAGATGATTCGGATAACTCAAGAGGTCTCCTTCCTATCTGCCTTTTTTAATATTTTACAATAAAAGTCCCTTTGTCTGAATTTTTATAGGTAATCATGCTTTAAATGAGGCTACTTCTTTTTACTTTTTTTTCTTAAGCTAAACGAAAACATAACATCACAAAACGAGCTAAATATTCCTTAGTTATCATTAGTTTCCATTTAAATTTTGAACAGCACCTGCTAATTAAATGTCGATATTCTCCCAATGGGCATGGTTATATATACTGCCTTGCTTTCCTGTCTGTCAGCTGGAAGACAAGCGTCGCAATTTTTAGAGTGCAAGATTTTCTCGCCTATCTCTGATTCATTCATATATTGTTTCCTACTGGTATTTCTATTGAAAAACAATTTACAATTTTAATTTATATTTTCGGATATTTATTTTTGGCTCATTTTATCTTCCCTTTAAATTTCCTGACCTATTTATTTATTCTTTTTCTCTTTATATACGTATTATTAAGATCTATCGGCCAGTTGTAAGTCCTTATGTGCCCAGCAATTTGCTTCATTCAATCTGGCTTCATGCAAGTCACCTAGCAGGCTACGAACAACGAGATGCCCATGAATTTCTCATCACTCTTCTTACTTTGATACACAGTCACCTTGTCGGAGAACAGCCGCTTGTAGAAGGTAGTATGAGCCTGCATTTTTTTCTTGGTTTCCATATACTTGAACTTTTTATTCGCTAATCATAATATTCCTTAAGATATTTTTAATAGAGCAGCTGTTTAACAATCATGACCTTAATTAGTCGACCTTACTAAAGATATTTTATTACAAATCCTTGTATCCGCCCTTTCTCAAATAATTCATCAAATGCTATCTATTAATACTTCACTTTTCAAATTAATTGACTAACTAATTTGGTAATTTCTAGTGTCGGAGATGCTAAGGAGTGTCTTGTATTTTTGTGAATTATATTAAATAAGAATTCAGGACTT